ATTCCAATCACTGGCAGCTGTGTCCACCAATGTTTTGGAATGAAATTGTAAGCAAAGCCAGTGTTTAAAGTAAAACAAGTGAAGTCTGGCAGTTAAACTTCGCTCGCCGAGGAATGGGCTGAACGGGCGATTATTTAAGGTCTATACAAGATTTGTGTTCATTTTACCAAGCTCAAAGATTTATTATAGATGGTTAAGCGAAATGCAAACTTTTATGTATAGCAAAAACATTTCTTGTAAAGTGGGGAACACAACCTCAAATGGCCAAGCAGCATTAGGCAATTGTGCATCAAATAAAGGCCAAATGCAGTACTTCGACTGTCTCCGGGTTGAAAAAGACCAAGACGGGCCCGTCCTTCATCCATCCACCCTCCCAAAGTATCCAGCGGTAAGCGCACACACAGACTTTGTAGCTTGTCCGTCAGTTAAAAATAGTAATTGTGAAATCCGTGTTGTATATCGGCCCAGGCATACAAGCTAGTTAGCGTGATAAATGTAAATAGTTTCAGACGTGCCTGCGTGATGATGTGTTTCAGTTTGGCTCAGTAAATTTTTAAATTTATATTTTTCATTTTGGTGCTGCTGTTATTCTTTTCTATTGTTAGTTTTTTATGTCATTTCGAAGTGGCCTATTTAGCATTTAGCCATGTTTATTGAGAGGCTAGACACGATTTTTGTTATGCTCACTTGTAGTAGCAATAAAAGCAAATACCACTTCTGTTAAAACATATTGTCGGTAGTCTTCCACCAAATAGAATAGAAAAGTATCAATAATTATGGTATCGATATAAAGACTCGGATCGAAAGGAGTATTCGATAAATGGTAATAATTTGATATTCAATAAATATTAACGATCCCCATCCCTATACATAGTATGGTGAAATATAGTCTAAATGTGAACGTTCAAGCAATGACTTACAATAGTAGGTGAAAGAAATTATGAACCAATTTGGTACACCAATTTGGTACACTTTTAATTGGTGACTATAGTCATTTATTGAATGTCTTCAACTGAAAAATGTTCACTGGGTCCTCTGAACACAGTTCACAGTGTAGTATCAAAACAGTGAGTGGGCAGAATCTGTGTACTGGTAACAGTAATATATGTTTCTTGGCAGATTCCAACAATGACTGACTGCCATTAATCAGGCATTCTCAATCTTTCTAACCACCAGAGAGACAACAATGATCCATGTCTACACCTCTCTATCTCTAATGCAGACTAACATTTAGGCAATACTGGACCTAAACAAAGTTGAGATGTGTTTGGAAACATCTCTTTATGAGTGTCAATGTAAACATATGAATCAAGCAGGGGGTAAAAACACAGATTCTTACCTTGTATTTGTCTACAATGGGCAATCTGACAGGGCCATCACTTGATCTGTTGAAATGTGGCAAACTGTCCAAGTGTGGAATGAAAGGTAACCCTCTGAAATAACAAAATATGGGCAGCATTTAGTATGGAACAATTAGTTTCTGTCTATACTGTAACTGTTAGTGACAGTGAAGAGATTATGAGGAGAAACTGGAAGACTTACGTATACCAGGAGCACATGTCAGTGGGCTCCTTCAGGTTGGCCCCTGTCAGTCCGGAGCACGGCATGAAGTGAATGTCTTTCTTCGGGTTGAATCCCACCTTCTTCAAAAATGGCACTAGTTTCTCCTTACACTCTTCATACCTGAGGGTTCAACAACAGGAGGGACGTCAACACTGATATGACAGAGGACAGGATATTAGAATAACTCTTTATATAATGCAGTCCAATAAAAACACCACCATCCAGAGAATGAATGCCTGTTACAGTTGTGTCTGGAGGTGTTGAGGTCAGGTGGGAGTATGAATAGTACACCAGTCAATATAAGTGGTATGATGTGTATCTGTACCAGTATAGACTGAATTTTGTGTAACATAAAGAGCACGTTAACCAGTTTGTGTTCATAAGACAGGTGAGATTGTTTGTTTCCTCTGGAAAAGTTGCCAGTGCTCACATTATGTGACATAATTATTAATTAGTTTTCCCACATATTCAAAGAGCATTTCACCTCACAAAAAAAAAAAAACGGCATAAATAATGATCATATGTTTCTAGTGAAAGAATTAAAATAAATGAAAGGCCAAATCAAACCTTATGGCAGCCCTGCTTTGAATGAACCCACAAACTATGTTTGCCCTATTAACTGTGTAAGTACAGTTCATCAACCTACCTTAGCTTAAAAGTGAGAGCAAAACAACCACCAACATTGTTTACCTATATAGGAAGCCATGTTACTGGGAGAAATAAGGTCACGCAGTAAATAAGTTTTAAGCTAACCTTTCTAAATCTCTGTATACATGCCACAGGTCAGTAATCAGATCTCTTATTCTTGCATTTCAGTGATATACGCTACAATATGCCGTTTCCTGAATTTTTTTTTAGGGTAGAATGGTCGAGGCAGACAACCACCCACCTAAAGTCGGGGTCTGTCCTAGGTTTCTGCCTCTTAAAAGGAAGTTTTTCCTTGCCGCTGTCAAGTGCTTGCTTATGGTTGGAACTGTTTGGTCTCTAAATAATTTTAAAGAGTACGGTCTAGACCTGCTCTATTTGAAAAGTGTCCTAAGATAACCCTTTGTTATGAAGTGGCGCTACACAAATAAAATTTAATTGAACTGAATTGACAGTCCATTGGCATTGGAAAGATGTGGTTAGATGCGAACTGGCAGGGTGCGACATGAATTGATGCAAAGATGTGTCTTCTAATCTGGTCCAACTTGTGAGGTGAGTTTTCAGTCTCCTTTTGAACCTCTTTATGTCTCCTTTTTATTAATGTATCGCATCCAACAAAAATATATGCAAGAGTAAGCACAGAGAACAACAGATGACTCTCGATGCACACTATCGTGTGCGCATCCTAAAACACAGAAGCTGGGTTTCTTGTACGAGCTGCTGTTTAGGTTTGAGACGAGCCATACACTCCTGTTTGATCAGTATTGTCCATTTACCCACCTCTCAAGGCTCCAGTTGACTGTTGGATCATCCATCTTATTCACCAGAACTATCAGGTGCTTGACACCAGCCGTTTTGGCCAACATGGCATGCTCCCGTGTCTGTCCGCCCTTCTCAAAACCAGTTTCGAACTCGCCTTTCCTGGCAGAGATCACCTGAGGGTCAACACATTTATTCAGTGATTGGTTTTATCTACAAGCGCTATGAAAACACAAGGTTTTTTTTGCTGTAGCTCACTAAAAGATCAGCCTACTTCAAGTTTGGGCTGTAGTTCATGCCCTAAAAAAAAAGTCACAAGTCCCAGTGGGCTCTGCAGTATGAGGCAGGAGTTTTCTATACTGAACGTGGCTGAACATGCCTTCTTTCAAACTGCTAGCAGTATAAATATCAGGACTTAAGCATGGGGATTTACTTTCATTCTGTTTATGTTTTAATAACAGTGATGTAGCCGATCTCCTGACAAGTATACATAAACTATGTTGTTGTTTCAATGATTGCGAATAACTCATTTTAGTACTCATTTTAATTAGTCTTTATGGTTCTTGTGATGTTGCAAACCACAGGGTAGACAAAGGCCTATAAGCTAATCTTTGATCTGATGTTCCACTTTAACTTAACAGTTTATCAACTAGAGCTACAACGATTAGTTAGTTAGTTGAATGATTAGAAGAAAAACTGATGTCTTTAATCCTTTATGACAGTAAAGTCATAACTACTATTCAATTATTGAGAATATAATCAACAGATTAATTGATAATGAAAATATGTAATTAAATGTAATTAGCTGTAGCCCTATTAACAACATTGGTCATCTTCTTGACTCACCAGAACAGCCAGGTCTGCTTGTGATGCGCCTCCAATCATGTTGGGGACAAAGCTTTTGTGGCCTGGAGCGTCTAGGATGGTAAAGTGCTTTTTGTCCGTCTCAAAGTATGCTCGGCCCACCTCCACCGTCTTGCCTTTGTCCCGCTCCTCTTGATTGGTGTCTAAAGCCCAAGACAGATACCTGGGAGAAAGAAGTCATATTCTATTGTTCATTTGGTCACTAGTAAGAAATCAGACATTTTCCAAGGGCACACACACACACACACGCACACACTCACGATCCAAGCATATAGTGGACCAGCTGAAAACACAGCCACATGTCTTCTGACCACATTAACAAATGGAAACATTTAAAAGAGAGCCAGTTAGTCCACTCACCAGGTTTCCCGGTTCTTTTCCTTGGCTTCTCTCTCGTACTTCTCTAGGGTTCTCTTGTCTACCATGCCTGTTAGATACCTGGTAGAGAGGAAGGGAACAAATGAAATGTACATGTCAAAGGCCTGATGTGGTGAATGCACTTTCACTCATTTTAAGAAAAGGCAGTGAACCAAAAAAGGGGGACTACTCACATGATTTGTCCGCCAATGGTGGACTTGCCAGCATCTGGAGAGCAAGCACACAGAGCGAGTTCAGATTAGACAAAACGGTGACATCACATCATCAACTGCGCATTGAAGCTTTACCACAGCACCTGGCTAATATTCTGTTACCCCCTTTACTTCTCTAATTCAGTTTGAGAAATGAGCTTGCCGTCCTAACAGCATGTGGAACCTAGACTAAAAGGAACACAATCTACTTTGCATGTTTTTCAAGTCCTCTCATCATCGCTCTGTTTGTCCATGTTTAAGCAGTCACATCTCAGTGGTTGTACACAGAACACAGTGACTGGCTGTGCTGTTATGCATTCCTGACACAGCAGACTAACTACAGCCTCAACCCGCTCCAGACAGGTTGACTAATATGGCATTTTGTTATGAAGCAGGCTGCTACTCACTAAATGAGTCATTATGTTGTGTAAGAGTGGGTACCTTTCTAACACCTTAACACTCCATGTTGAGTGATAACAGGCCATAGTGTTAATGAGTGCACTATAAACGTGTTAGGGGACACATCACTGATGACAGAGTAAAGGTGTAATCTGTCGGCTCAGCTGGTAACATATATCAGTGTCTGCACTCAGGGTTTCTGCAAGTTGCAACAGGTTCAATTTAAGACTTTAAAGACCGATAAGAATGCAATTCAAGACCTTATTTCACATCCATACGGGCAAAGACTTTAAAGGATATTAAGGAAAATCTGTATTAGTTCCATCTCACTTTCATTTTGTAGTTGTTACAGCATAGCGATACAAATCGTTCCCAAAACACATTTAAGAAATGATCATGTAAGTTACTGGTAGGTCTGCTACTGATACATTTAACCCCAGTTCTTTTCCTCCTTTTTAAATGATGCAGGGTCCATTAAGTGGCTCAGGTTCATTACAGCAGGTATGTGACACTCCATGTTAGCTTGCTTTTGTGTTGCACTTGGCTGTTTTCACCACAGCTGATTTTTCAAATGTAGTCTCAGTGGTACAGTCTCAGGCAAACTGACTACAGTATACTAGTTTTCCTCTAACCATAACATTCATTTGGCCACAGTCTATCAGTAACACTTCAAATCAAGCAATGCAAATCAAGTGAAACCTGACTTTATTTTGTTTTGACCTACAAACAAGGTGTATGCACTAACCTACGTGTCCAATGAACACAACGTTGATGTGTTCCTTCCTGGGGGCGTCTGGCTGTGTAGGTGGAACCTTGGGTACTGGAGCTTCCTCCTCCTCCTCTATCATCATCTCTGGAGCAGTCTCCTCCGTTGTCGCCGGCACTACTGGCCCCCGGTCCCCGCCTCCTGGCTCCTCCTCGTTTGGCTCAGCCTCTTTCTGGTCCCACGGCTCCTCTGTGCTCATCTCTGTGTCGCCATTCTCCACTGGAGCTGTACAGCCATAAACACATCATTCAGGGCCTCTTCATTCATTTTGATAAACTGATTAAAATCTCAGCCATGCCAACAGAGCTAGTTTTTTAAATTCATTTTCTTTTACTGGAAACGTTTTCTGAGCTGTCTTTGTCACATAAGACATTCACTGTAAACTGCTGTGATCAGTGTCAGAGCAAAGGCACTCTTAATAAAAATCAGGGTGTTTTTTCAGTGGCAGTCAGTAAAAACTAAAAACAATTAGCCCACAATATCCTAATTGATTAAAAAAGCAAACGGTTCCAGTCCAGTGTACCATGTAACTACTGCAAAAAGCAATGCCTACATGTTTTACCAGTGACTTAAAAATGGGATATTACCCAAAGAAATACCCAACACATTCTTTAACAGTTTTTGCGCTGCTTCCCTGTCCTGTGATTGAAGTAATCAGTGTCAGCTAGCACGCGAGGACTGGTACTGTGTTCAGGCTGGTCTGTCGGTTTGTAAGGACAGTGTCCTTTACTGTTGATGGTCAAACTAGAGCAGCCAGCCAAAGGTGGTGTTTGACTAGATTTCACAGTTTACATAAACATTCACTGGCACTCAATGTCTGCTAAACAACTCGCTCTGGACTGTAGTTTTAACCTCTGCCAGAGTGTTATATATATTATATTATGTTAATATATTTCTGCTTTATGCTATCTTTATCCAATCAGGAACCGATTTATGAATTATGTTTAGCTCCATGCTTCAGTTTGACAACCGCCTGGTATAGTGTAACCCTTCACACAGGCCGTACAGTAATAGCCACCATGGCATGCCGTGGTTTTAAAAGACAAACAAAGAGGGAATGAGAAGAAAGGCCACCACAATGCAGCAAACTGTTTGAGAAATTTTCTTTATGAAATGCAGTACTACAACAGCAATGAAAACTTAGCACCAAAGGAGGAGACAATATAGGAAACAATGACAGTGCTCTGACATAAAGCCTCCTACTCAGTTCAGCAGTACTGCAGACAAACAGATCCTGGTTCAGTGAGTTACCAGCTCTGGTTCCTCACATATCTATTTAATCGAACTTATAAAAACTAAGTTAAGTAGTTACATTACTTTGCAACAGCTGCTAAGCATCAAATGCAGGTAAACTTTTGGTTTGGTGGAAAAATAAATTAAATAACAGCAAGGTTTACATTACTGAGTTTTTGTGTACCAGCTGAGACTAATGTGACCCTCACTGTCCACCGTACCATCATGACATCATCAAATGAAAGCAGCTTATTACCATTTGGTGCTTTATACACAATGTCTTATCAGAAACATCTACGTTCCAGGTTTTTAGACATGTGGCAACACATTACCGGTGTGAGGACACAAAAAGCTAAATGTGAAGACAAAGAAAAATCAGATGTTGGCCTTTTTTTGCGAGAGGTGGTGTCTAAATGACACAGGAGCCCTGAAATCCTGCTTAAAATACACACCACTTGGGAAATTAGTACACGGTGCTCTTGATTTAAAAACAATACAAGGGAGTGGTGCATCTTCTCACAGGAGCATCTTTGACTCAGTTGTGTGAATGTGTGCACACTACTCAAACATTGCATTTACACTAAATGATGAATGTTCATGCTTCGATCAGATCATAAAAGCAACCTCTGACTGAGGTTCTTTTGGACATATACTATCCAAGTATACAGAAAAGGTGCAAAGCTGCTTCACATTAGGACCCAGTGTTTCCTCTAGGATTTTTTAGCAGTGGAGCAGCCTGTACCAACAAGCCTACCCGCGCTAACCTAAACCCCTTTTTAGTCTATTCCACTGTGCACGACTTTGGTCAGTTTATTACTGGTGTTTAAAATGTGCTTTATAAATAAATTTACTTACTTAATTCCATCATTTACAGTTAAAGGTTATATTTGGAAAGACTGCTATATTAATCTTAACTGAATATAAATTTAACAAATTATGTTGTGTTGTCAGGTTGTTTCACTTAATTTTGAGACATTTACATAGTTTTTAGA